GTGGTCATGGTTAGTGATTGTAGTGGTGGTCAATGGTTAGTGATTGTAGTAGTGGTCATGGTTAGTGATTGTAGTAGTGGCCATGGATAGTGATTGTAGTAGTGGTCATGGTTAGTGATTGTAGTGGTGGTCATGGTTAGTGATTGTAGTAGTGGTCAATGGTTAATGATTGTAGTAGTGGTCATTGTTAATAATTGTAGTAGTGGTCATGGTTAGTGATTGTGGTGGTGGTCATGGTTAGTGATTGTAGTAGTGGTCAATGGTTAGGAATTGTAGTAGTGGTCATGGTTAGTGATTGTAGTGGTAATGATTAGTAATTGTAGTTGTGGTCATGGTTAGTGATTGTAGTAGTGGTCATGGTTAGTGATTGTATTAATATTCATGGTTAATGATTGTAGTAGTGGTCATGGTTAATGATGGTAGTAGTGGTCATGGTCATTGATTGTAGTAGTGGTCATGGCTAATGATGGTAGTAGTGGTCATGGTTTGTGATTGTAGTAGTGGTCAATGGTTAGTGATTGTAGTAATGATCATGGTTAATAATTGTAGTAGTGGTCATGGTTAGTGATTGTAGTAGTGGTCATGGTTAGGAATTGTAGTGGTGGTCAATGGTTAGTGATTGTAGTAGTGGTCATGGTTAGTGATTGTAGTAGTGGTCATGGATAGTGATTGTAGTAGTGGTCATGGTTAGTGATTGTAGTGGTGGTCATGGTTAGTGATTGTAGTGGTAATGGTTAGTAATTGTAGTGGTGGTCATGGTTAGTGATTGTAGTAGTGGTCATGGTTAGTGATTGTAGTGGTGGTCAATGGTTAGTGATTGTAGTAGTGGTCATGGTTAGTGATTGTAGTGGTGGTCAATGGTTAGTGATTGTAGTAGTGGTCATGGTTAGTGATTGTAATAGTGGTCATGGTTAATTATTGCAGTAGTGGTCATGGTTAATGATTGTAGTAGTGGTCTTGGTTAGTGATTGTAGTAGTGGTCATAGTGGGTGATTGTTGTTGGCGGTTGTGGTTATGGTGAATGACAATTATTATTATTGAATTTTATTTTTTCCCCACTGTATATCCTCTGTAACTTACTGAATGTCTTTGCAAAACAATTGAAAATCCCAATATTTGCTGGAAATGGTATTGCCTATATTTTGGGTAAATGTCTGTACGGTAGTTAGAGTTTTTACGAAACAAAAGTTTTTCCAAAGGACAGATTATTATTCGTTTCAAAAATGTTAACTTAATAGAGACTTGTATTAACTGCGCAACATACTCGTTATTATTGCCAATAATTTATAATGAAATAATCAAGGGTACAACAAATTAAAACGTTCTCAATGCTCCTGCGAAACTGAGACGAATAACCTTAAACCGGATACGACGAAATTGTAAGTTACAGCACGTGTTTGTTGTTTGTATAATTTGTAGGAATGGGTAGATCATCGACTTTCATGGAACTCTAGCTATAATGTGGATTCGTTACACATTCATCCCGATGAAATATGGCGTCCTGACTTAGCACTATTTGATAGGTGGGTATTGTTTTCAATAATAATTTTGTGTAACGTACATAATGGAACACAAGATTTACTGGAATGGCAATATATAGTATATATTTCGCTCATGAATATTGACATTAAAATGTTTTTATCTCCCGAAATATAACTTCCTTAAAAGTGCGCCAGTAAATTAAATGGTAAATGCGGTCACGGCGGACATTCCGTATTAAACTTTATTTATTGAATTTGCAGTGAAATGATGGAGGAGCACCCTGTTAAATATCCTTTGATAATGCCATCTGGCAAAGTGTATTGGGTGCCTACGTACAAGGCTTTTGCAGCGTGTGGCAAAAGTACCTGGTACTTTCCCAACGATAAGCACACGTGTTCTTACAAGCTTGGATCGTGGTCTTATGACGAATCGTACTTGGACTTACGTAGCAACGGCGATAAGCTCATGACTTATTATAAAGAGCATACAGATTGGAAAGTGCTCGGGGAGTCAATTGAAAGACATGCTAAAAAATATGCATGCTGCAATGAGACCTATGTCGATGTCACGTTCACTTTGACCATACAGAGGGTAACATCTTTCTATTCAGCCATTCTTGTTACGCCTGCTGTTTTGATCACCCTGGCGTTGATACTGGTGTTCGGCCTTCCTCCTGACTGTCGGCAAAAGATAGATATTATTATTGGAGTTCTAATCATATCAGTGGTTTTACAGTTTCACCTTGCAACTGTTGTATCCGAGGCAACAGCACTGGGAGGATTTCTACTCTTTTCCACTATAGCGGATCTTCTCATTCTAGCAGAGACTGTCTTAGTGTATAACCTCTTTCACCGCAATACCCGTACACACCCTATTCCCGAATGCCTGCGGTCAGTCTGCATGAGCGTACTACCTCGCATAATTTGTTTAACCAAGCCTCGCGCTAGAAAGTACGACGTGACTCTCAACACTAACGAGAACGATGGCGATGAAAGGGACATAAAAATACTGGAATCTAGTCAAAAAGCCGAGGTAAGTTAACTGTCTATTCATATTACCACAGGGAATGTATATACAATAGGATACAATTGAGTGTTATATATTAAAACTAACTTTATATCATATTTATTTTTCTTCCAACAGGACGTTGATGAAGAATGGCGATTTATTGCACGTGTGTTAGATCGCATCTCTTTCTGCATTTTCCTCATTTTTTACGTTCTCGTTACCGCCTGTATTTTGGTACAGCCGTCCTAGAAGCACAGTCTATCTACTGTTGAACGAAACACGCATTGTCAATTGTTTGAGGCTACCCTTACCTAATCAAACCCCCAAAACACATGTCAAACATATAGAAAATGCATTTTAAAGCAAAAATGTATTATATCAATTTTTGAAACACCTTCTTTAAAGTAGTAAATACCGCTCATCCATAAACTCTCGAGATGAATGGATTGTAAATATATTTCAAATACATCAATTCAATACTTGGTTTACTTACATTCATTTCCGTTCGATGTTATTAGTGTGTTTTCTAGGGTCACGTGTTCACCATTCAACACGCGTTCGAATTTCGCGTTGTATGCATGGTACCCACATTGAACGCGACCCACCAAAAAAATGAGGCAAAGTATCTCATATTATGAATAACTAACCCGAAAATACTAAAAGTTAATTCAGTTATATTTAACCGCGTACGTAATCCTTTTCCAATTATTTTAATCTCAAATTAAGATTTGATCATCTGTAGTATCAGCATTTGCGAGTTCTATTTGTTTTGCTATAGTTATAATAACAAAAATAAAACTGTTTTATTGTTTGACATTTATCTAGCTAGTATAGTGGTTAGTCACTGTGATTGTATTATATCCTGTAATGATGTCACATTTTAACGGTAGTATTACATCTTATTGTGAACAGTGTAATACGTATTACCATACACAAATCCATTGCTAGCCGTTGCACTAATGGAATAGCTCACAGTGGATCATTATTTTTGCAGAGGTGGCAAAAATAAAAACAAACAACCACACTTCTAGAGATCAGGCGTGGGATTTGAATTTAGAATAATAAAGTGGTCTACTCTCTCCGGGAGACATAGTGGTCCAAGGCACAGTGGTAGAATAATAAAGTGGTCTACTCTCTCCGGGAGACATAGTGGTCCAAGGCACAGTGGTAGAATAATAAAGTGGTCTACTCTCTCCGGGAGACATAGTGGTCCAAGGCACAGTGGTAGAAACATTTTTTAATTTGTATGTTAATTTTCTATGAACAATACTAATTGGTTATTGTGTAGACTTTTTGATGTGTGCATAATAAAATAACACTTGTTTTACGAGTTGAACTTATGCGTATGTGTGGAGTCAGTCAACGCCTTCTCCAGGCAAAACGTCGCATACATGTAGGAGATCACACAGAAGTCTCGAATTTTGCCGTCTAATATTCATGGTATAAGTATAATAGCAATCAGTATGTCATTTATATTGTCACACACTGTTGCATAAGGTGTTCATTGAACAGATAAACAACTGCATATAAAGTCATATACATGTTTATATCATCCTATGTAGCTGCTTAATTGGTCTTTGAGTTGCTTCTTTGGCACAGATCTTACTCGTAAGCATTTCAGTTACAAGCCAGAAGTTCGTTATATAATTTCAGAGTACAACGTACAAAACGGAGAACCTTCCAAAAGAGGGCGCTGCATGCATTTTCTCCTAACATGTTATGACTAAGATCATCGTCAGAAATTACTAAATGAATGTCACGGGGGGGGGGGGGTTGTACTCTGCCGAGTTAGAAATGATACAATTTAAATTTGAATGATAACTGGAACTACCAAAACTAAAAAATGTCGTAATGCCTTCTATGTTCACAGTCTTAAAAATTAATGTCATTTTAAGCGAACCAGTCATAATCAGTTACCTTGAACCTTGCGATGCCAGTCAAGTTAAGTATGCTAAGTTTATTTATTAACAAACTGTGAGGAACTCTATCAATTACTTTTCCTTTCGCTTTTGTAATATCATGAATATTCATATATTGATCATTATGCAGCTATAGTGAGTTATGTGTCTACCAATATTTGAATATGCAACTTTTACAACAATAGTGACTGAATTCACATCGTTATCAAATTTTACATCTCAGGAGAGTTATCCAGGCGCTTCAACTAAATGCAACCAGCAAGCTACAAATATTTGTTTTATAATCAGCACAACTATAGTGAGAATATATATGTGCCAGTCATTTAAGAGTTGTTTTTGCGCCCGTTATATCCTTTCCACATTATGTATTGAACTGAAGCCTGAACGCCACGTTTGCTGTCAAAGATCAGACAGATATAGTTGGTGTATCATTGTATTTTTTCATAAATGATCCATTTTAGATTATTGTACATCAGAGCATTTTTAATATATGATATCAGCTGAGATAAGTCTTGTTCGACTACTAGCGTGATGTCTGTGAGGGCGCTTCAACATAAATGAACACACGCATGAGTCTTATTCAAAACAAATAGTACTAATTATAGCATAGTTACTCTGAATCTAGCCATCTGATTGGCTGGGCAAGATCTTATATCGGGCACTAGTTTACTTATTATAGCGAAAAATTTTAATATATTGCTCATTTTGCGAGAACACTCCACGTGTGGAAGGTGCGCGATTATTGCAGCATTGCGTTCGAATCAAACACGTGACGTCGGAATTAGTGTATGATCGGTATTACCGCTAGTTCATCAAAATATAGTACTTAGGATTTGTATACGAAATCTAGAACACGCACCACATGGCATGTAAATTCTGACCCGTTAAAATGTATTAGAATGCTAGTTTACACAAATTAAACCCAAAATCCAAATGGAAATCATTATATAACGCATGAGGTAGTTCTGTTTTCAGAATTATAACACTATTAGGTGCATTAACAAAAACATGGCTATTCGACACCCCTTACAATAATGGTATAATCCAAGAACAGATGTTAAGAGAATTGGAAATTTACACATGTCGCGATTTATGTATGTAGCTATTACCGTCATGCGAAAATGCACGGTCTTATCGTTCTCCATAATGTCACATATAAAGAACAAATCATGAACACGTCTGCCATAACTCGTTTCTAAGGGCATTACATATTTGACAGTGTGCTTATTTCTGAAATCTCATCATTTATTGGGTTTAAAAAGATACTCCCTAATATATTTCAGAATTACAGCTTACACGTATATATATAGATGCCCAATATAATATTGATTAATCAATAAATGTGTGGAAACCATACCCATGTTTAATTTCCAAATGTGAAATTGAATATAACTCATCACAACGTAGTCTGTTGAAAGTTATATACATCATAATAGAATCTGGAAAATTGACATTTGCATGGTATCGAATACATTACACATGCTAGTGGTTAGCCAGCGATGCTAGCTTTTACGTTAACATTTGTCAAAAATATTCCCTCAACTATAATTTATAGTTTATATAATTATAATTTATACAATATACCATAATTGACTATCGTGAGAGATCTAAGGTCAGTCATTTCGTCAATATAATGACATTAGTCTAGAACAATACTGAGCGGTTAGGTATAGTAGTTAAAGCTCAGACATTTGATGAATGGCAAAAAGGGAGAACGTACGTCATATACTAGTAAACATTGATGCTGTAGATCAAGACGGAATGTACTGTGATATTATATAATACACTTACATCAATATTGCGTGTACATTATCACAATTTTAGATGACAATGACATACAAGGGGCATTTCCTCTTTTCATCCTGGTAAAAATGCAACTCGCAGGAAATATCTAAATGAAACTTTCTTTTTTATTTATTTTAATGAAAAAATGAAGATTATATTATCCAATTAAAATTGTGTTATTGTTTCCATTCTACTAGCGTCAATATAGTGGCATTCCACCAAACCATAGTTTACTTGTATACATCCTAAATAATATGTAAGAACATTCAATGTGAGCGTCAAACAACACACAGGTATAATGAGACGCTGATCTCGGAACATCTAGCGCGACTACGAAGTCAACTTTCACATGATCATCTACCAAGACGAGAGATTATGGTTATTACAGTTCAAAGGGGTATTAAAAAAGTCACATAATCATTCGTCAACACAAATGATTAATGACGTTATAGCTAGACTCGCACAATTTCACAGGAGTCTGTGCAAGTTTCAGATAATCGCAAAGGATTACACAAATTAATTACAGTAGTTCGCACCACATAGAACTGAGGGAGATGTGACGTGTTGTCCTCGATCAATGGATTGTAAGGCGATGTGAGGGCAAACTAAAAAAAAAATATATAAACTTTCACGTTTTATTTTTATATTAAAATTAATTGCACACTAATACACAGTAGTCACACTAACCTCATTATATCGGTCGTAGCAAATAATATTATGCGTCATCGCCCGTCATTGTCGTCCGCGTCAACTTTTTCGACTTGATACTTGGTGTGCATGCATCTAGATTTGTTCATTTCGTGATGATATCTTCAATTCTCTAATTTGGATGAATTTTTGGTAAAAAATGAAATTTTCGACTTTTTGTTGAAGTATCTGATTACTTCTATATTATACATATATGTACCATAGGAGGATAGTTTTTAGATTTGTTCATTTTATGATGATATCTTTAATTCTCTAATTTTCATGAATATTTTTGTCATGTTTGGTAAAAAAGCGATCATTTCGACATCCAATTGTTGTATATTCAGGTATCTCGTGTTCAGTTGGCAAAGCATTCAAGCACTGGTGATATATTGGTGATACATGCTCCAAAGAAAACATATACAAAAAAAGTGAACACAATTACAAGAGTTTTTTAATAATTATTACAATGTGTAGAAACAAATCTGCTCAAAATTACAGTGTATTTGTGATATTGAATGTTATCAACAGTTCCAGATAAAGTTAGCTACATGTATCAATGCAGGTTGGTGGTGATTAAAATGTAAACAAAAAATGGTTTAGTCACTCGGTTTGCCACTATATTGAAATTGTGTGAGAAATAATTTCAGTATTTATTTTTATGAAAAAGTAGCAGTCACTTGACTTCAAATATTTCAAACATGAGAGGGGCTATCTTAGCAGAGAAGTTGTTTGAATTTCTTTATTTCTCATTCTTCTATCCACGGGAAATGTTTTCATGTTACGAGATCTCTTCAATTGAGCTATTACATAAACAAACGTCTTATCTAGGAATAGTGTGTACAGGTTTATTGGGTGTGCAATATGTGTGGAACCTACACCATATTGCAACATACACTCAATTTGAATAATTTTCAGATTTATTTGTTTTGAATCTGTCTAATAACGGGTCATCACTACAATCGCTACCAATAACGAGAACGTGTAAATGCTGGTCTTTCGAACGATACTAATAATGTTGTTTCCGACCTAAACAATCTTAATTTCATGGCTGTATAGATGTTATTTCTCAACTAATATGCATAGGTGTAAAAAACATCAAAACAATGCATGGCTGTTAAAATACTCGTTCACTGACAATTCTGTTTTTGGAAATCATTCCAGAATGGAAAGTTAATGAATGGCTAAAAATAGACGGTTAGTTGATTATATCGCAACAAGTTTACGTTTTTTTACTTTACCCATATCAGAAATCCGCATATCCCACATAATCCTTGCCAACACACATTCGTAATACGATTTTCGCATTGTCAACTAAAACTTTAATCAATTGAATAGGCACGAACTTATACAAAAAAATTACAGCTCCATCACGTCACGATTTTTTTAAAATTTTTTCGATGAATTTAAATGTGATTTTGTATTATACAAAGAGCTTTTCCGTCCAACAAACAAACAAATGTCTTCTTACTGTCACAGCTGAAACAAGCTTTCCAGGGCTAAATAAATAAATGTCAAAAGCTGGAGCCGACGAAATGTAATTTGCGTCAGCCATATTATTGTCGTCTGCTAACCGCAATGTCCCGGATGTTACGCTAGTATAAGTTAATACTCGTAATAAGATGCACATGACCAATACGACATTTACAAGCCAATATCAACTTCGCAGGACACAATTGAATATTCATCGACCATGTAATGACCAGCTATCATCTGTGTTATTCATGAAGATAACCTATTTGCCATCACACGTCTAGCTGTGCATTTGACTATTAAAGTTTTCATTCTTACATTTATGTACAACGTGTCATTCTATTTTGGGAAATACAGCGAGCCGGAAAACATTACAATGTTAAATATTGGAAATTAATTTATTGCTACTTCATCTCATCCATTGATTACTTAAATTTACATTGTGTATAACTTTACGCTGTAAG